GGGAGCACATCCCACGCGGATGACGCCGGGAAAAGGCGCGCGTTCAGCGACGATCGCCAAACTCCGTCTGAACGGTGATGATGACTTCCGGTAGCTTGCAGGTGGAGGTGAAAGGTCAGCAGCCGCCACGTGGGCCGATGCTAGGCACGCAGCCGGAGCCTTGGTAAGGCATGGCCACAGGGCTGACAAAGAGCCTTCTGATGACGAGAGGTGCCCCCCCCCCCAAAAAAAAAACCGCATACAGCCCACTTGATCTAGAGCTGACGCGATTTTCTTCGTTAAATGTTTGTTTTTGCCTTCTTGAACTGGAACGTAAGCCAGAAGCCACTGGAAGCTGCAACTCTGTATTTTGTATTCAGCTAGCTGAAGGAAGGCAACGTAAATAGCTGCATGAAATTAGTCACCGGCGCTATTCGTTTTAAACGGTTTAGCTGATGCTTTCTGAAATCGTAGAACTCAGAGGCTTTGCCAGCTTTTTCCTGGTTCTATAAAGGTATTGAGCACCGCATGAACATCGATTGTATATCCAAAGGAGGCCAAAACTTACTTAAACATGGTAAGATACAAGTGTCTTGCAAGTCTGTGCAAGATACCCTCTGACTGGCATTTGAGGCACCGGCCCTCCATGCCGGCCCTAAAGGCAGGTGCTCTACAGGTGCCTCAGGCCGGCGCCTTAACGAAGGCCCGTACATGACCTACAGTCGGCCTTTCGGCCCTTTAGGTCCTCCAGCCTTCCAATCGGGCCCTCGACATTTGGTCTCGAAGGTACCTTTGGAGCCCTCCTCGGGCCCCCTTTAAATGACTCGAACACGGCCCCTGGTCGACTCGGGGTCACTTGCCAATCCAGTCCCGCTGCCAGCCTCCTGCTATGCAATGTCGGCCCGACCAATGTAAATCGCGGGCCCTGACTTTTTCCCTGCTGGAGAAATGGGTCCTCAGGCTGCAACACGGAGCCGACTATTCGTTACTGGTGATGCCAGATCGACATGGAGGCCCTCATCGACCCAGGGGCCCCAGTCGGCGCGAAGGGCCCGATGATTAGCATTTGAGATCACGGCCCTGCGGACCGCGCCCCTTAATACGACCTCCATCCAGCCATTCAGGCCCTTTGGGCCCTCGAGGCCTGTAGGGGGGGGGGGGGCACGTGTACCCTGTGCCCCATCCCCATCCCCATCCCCCCGTTCCGTGGTGCCACTGGCTGGTGCTGCAAGACGAATCCCACAGGGGCACGTGCCACTTTGATCAGTGGCCCGAGGCGTAGTCAATCCGCTTTATGCGGTGCTTGAGTATGTCCGCCGTGCGAGGAGTGGGCGGTCACGCCGCACGGGGAGTGGGTGGTCACGCCGTGCAGGAAGTAGGTGGTCTAGCCGTTCAGGGAGTGGGCGGTCACGCCGCACAGGGAGTGGGTGGTCACGCCGTGCATGGAGTGGGCGGTCACGGAGTACGGGAAGTGAACGGT